CACTTCCTACCGCCAGAGCTCAGGGAATTGGAATCCCACCCTCTGACAAACCAAGTAATTCAGAGTAAAGGAAAACCGGCGTGTTTACTGAGCACCTATTTCGTGCTAAGGGCACATAACAGACCCGAGCCAAGGGGCTTCCTCGGTTACAAACACGAGATGCTGAAGTGTGAAAAAGGACAGCACGTGCGTGCCAGATCACAGGGGGAAACCCCACTGAGATTTGGCCTTGACTACCTTTTCGCCCCACGTGTCCCTGTATTTTGTGCAAACAGATCTGGATAAAAAAACACTCTCCCATGCAGGAGGGAAAAGGGAGCTCATTCCTTGACTGACTCACTCCTAGGACAAAATGGAAATGAAGGGCCTCTGACACAGACCAGACCTTCCTATATACTAAGTGGAGGAGGAGGAATCCCAAGGGAGATTCAGCTCCGTGCCCTCTGGGGGCCCCTGGTCCAGGAGAATTCATGGAGGAGTCTTATTAAGAAGCCAGGTTTCCCACCCAGGCTCCGTGTCCTTGAGTAAGGACAGGAGCCATTTCTGTGCCCATCTCCTAGGTCATCCCAATGATCAAACGTATGAGAAGGGAGAGAGCCAGAGAACCACACCAACCCTGCTCTGTACAGCTCATTAGGCAGGCAGTGAAGAATAAGGGCCCAGAGAAGGCTGGGGTGGAAGGCAGTCTGGGGCTGGGGGAAAGCGGACTTTGAGCTCGGTAGACCCCAAAGCTGACCATGGCAGGCCCCCAGGGCAGTGAGAGGAACTGTGTGACTGGAGAAAGACTGTCCTAGGCAAGAGGGACCAGCCAGGAAAGGTTAGGTGGAAACCAGGCCCTAAGAGGGTGCTTGGATGCCAGGAAAAAACACTACTCGGGATCTCCTCTTAGCTCAACCCAGAGGCCACACAAACAGGCACTCCTGGGCCGGGTCTTTGTAACCTTGCCACCTGCTGGTTCCCTCTGGCCACCCACACCTACAAAAGTGATGGTCACAGAACTTCAACTAGTACCTGGAGATCTTCCAGCCAAGCCCCTAATTACTCAGGGGATGAGAGGGGAGGGGACGGAGATTTGCCATCTCCTTCTTCAGCCCTGTGTTCGCGGCTTTCTGTATCCTCGGGTAAAAAGTTCACAGGTTTTACCACTTTACCTCGCCAGTGAACCTTACCTCTGGGGTTGCTAGTTATGCATTCGGTTTATTATTACGCATATCAAATCATTGGTTGTGCAAATAGCTGGCAATTCGGAAGGGGACTGTTGGCAAAAAAGTGTTCAGCTGATATGGTTATACAACCCGAAATGGGGTACTTTGTACTTTGGTATAGCCAGGTTTGTAGCCTCAGCTTCTGGAGATAATAAACAGAAAGAAGCAATAATACTTAAAGCCACAGAGTGCGACGGGTTAGTAAACAAATAGGCATCACTTCTTGAGTCTTGCTAAACAGAGACCTGGGGACAGGACGAAAGGCCCCAGGAGCAGCCCGAGCACTAACATGGGACTGGGTGACTGGGTTAGCTCAGCTCCCCTCCCGGGCCTCAGTTTCCTCATCTGTAACGTGGAAGGTTTGGATGAGAAGCCAAAGGGCTCTCCCAGTTCTGGGATGCCAAAAGAAACTTGGAGGAAGCATTGCTCCTCTGGGTTTGCAGAAAAAGGGTGACCATTTGGCGTTGGCATGGCGCTGCCCCAGAGTACCAAATGCCTCAAGTCCTCTTTTGAAACCTCAGCGCTGACCAGGGGAGGGTGAAGGTGGCCTGACCCAGCTTCTCCTGCCTCCAACCCAATGCCCAAGAGGTGCTTTGGGGCGCTCCTTTCTAAGCCGGCTTTGTGACTGGTGGCCGACACTGGAGAGCCCCAGCAGGAACAAGATGGGAACCGACGAGGATGAGCTGGGCAGCCCCCATCGCCTCCCTGGCCTCACCGAATCACCCTTGACATTCTGCCTGGAAGCAGGAGCTTGGAGGAGGTCGGTGACCCCTGGAAGGCTGAGGCCTGGCCCGTGATTCTGTAATCTTGCTTTGCCATAATTAGGGAGGTAGGCAGAGGAGTAGGAGGAAAACCCATTTATTACTTCTCTGGGATTTGACAGCTTGGAGAAAGAATGAGGAGACAGAGAAACAGCCAGGAAAGGAGCCAGCCATAGTGAGTTTAACCTCTCGGTAAAAGAAAAAATGGGCTGGACGCACCTCATCAGCTGCCCTCTGTCAATAATCGGGGCCCATCTGGCAGAACCTGAGGTTCCCAACTAATAGGCATTTCCCATAGAGACAGCAAAGGAGAGCTTTAAAAAAAAAAAAAAATGTGGCGGTTGGTGGAAAAGCTGGGGTGTGATGCACGTGAGCAGGCTGAAGACCCCCACGCTTCCCAAGGTACTGGCTCTGGAGCTCACCTAATATATAAGGTACAGCCCGTCCCCACCCCCACCCCTGAGCTTAAAGATGAAGAATCCAGCCTGTTTGTTCCAGGCAGATGTAATCACACGAACAGTCAAGTCTAGAGGGCAGGACACTGCATGAATAATTCAAGCACTCCAGTCACTTGATTGTGTGTGCAGATAAAACACCAGTCAACCGCTAAACAGGTCAGCTGATAAACTTGTTTGCTCAGGCCTAACCACCATCCGCCAAATGCACCCAAGACCCACACTACAATTAGTGGCTGGGTTTTCTTCTACAGAACCCTCGTAAGCCTAGGGAGTGGCCGGCCCCATTAGGTCAGGGTTGCATTTCTTAGCCCCGATTTCTTCACCTCCTTGCCTCTTTGTTCCTCCACAGCCACGGGGCGATTTCACCCCACTCAAGACAGTGCCCTGAACCCTGCAAAGGCCCTGGCACTCAGAGCACACTCATTGATGCTGGGAAGCCAAGGAAAACTGGCTGGAAGGCAAAGGTGAGTGGCAAGTGGGGTCAAGGCGCCCAGTGGGGGAATCCAGAGGCCTGGACTGGAGTCCCAGCTCTGGCCCACTGGCTTCCCTGAAGCCTCAGTTTCCTGGCCTATACAAAGGGTGCAAAGAATCCCATCTGTCTGCCTCTAGCAGCTGGGAGGATTACAATGAGACCATGTCGCCAAACCTCAGGCATTCTCCCCTTAAGAGCCCCGTCTGGGGAATAGCCAGAGGTCCCAGATGCACACAGCTGCTCTTGAGGCAAACACCACCACCAAAGGCATTAGGACAGTTAACTCTTCCAGAGTTCAGAGTCTCCCCAGGACTCCGGAAACACCTTTGCTCCACCAGCCAAGGAGGATTCTTTGTGCCATAGAACCATCCACTCACAGACGTGGGGAACACCACCCATGCAGACCTCAACATGCAACGACGTATTACACCTTAATTACGAAGCTCTTAGAATAACTGCTGCTATAAATTTTAAACCTGGGTGCAATTACCCTCTTTAAACACACCCAAGAAACTAAGCACCGAGGGGGGGGACAAAAAAAGAGGGGGTTGAGAAAGGGAGGAGGGGGCACCTTGCATAACACCCCAAGGTCCTTGAACACCTGAGACCCCAGGTCCGTGGCATGCATTCGGACTGGATGAGTCAGACCCGGCCAGTCCCACCTAAAGTTGGGCAGAACCTGTCTCCAGTTCATTCTTCTGAAAAGAAACATCTCTATGTACACAGCCGTGTTTGCTTATGATTTCTGTGGGTCAAGAAGTAAAAAGCTGGTAGCTTTCCTGTGCCTTCCTAAGGAGCTCATAACCCCTCAGGAAGCCACAGACTGGCTTCCCACACTGCTCCATGAACTCAGGCCCCTTTTGGGCTGCCCTCCACCTAACACTGGGGCTCCTCCAATAAAGAAAGGAAACTGCAGATCCAAAAGGCTCTAGAGGAAGCCGCTGGAGCAGGCAGCAATCTACAAGCATGCCTGGGTCACCTGCCCTTCTCACCTGCCCGGGTCCCTGCCCCCTGAAAGAACAAAATTTAGACCTTGTAAACGACTGTTCATTTAAGGCAGAAAATCCATTCAAGTCACGGTCACCAAAGGCTAGAATGAGTCAACAGCCTTCTGAGATTTCAAGAACACCAATTGTTAAAAAGAACAACCGGTCTCCGCCATTTATTCATGCCAAGTCACTTCTAATCGCTGGCCAAGCCAAATTACAGGCAGCCTCTCCTTGGAACACAAATACACAAACAGGCCTCTCCCACAGCCCAGCCTAGCACTAGTTACTGATATGCACGGAGATAAAGCCTGTTTGTATTTGCTCCGTTTGAGGTATACTGTTATTAGAAGAGCAACAATACGAGGTAGTTTACATATCCATCAAACAACAGCACACTAGCTAAACTGGTTTGACTTCAGGATTTCAAAGCTGAGCTCAACTACCAGCCATCTCAAAAGTCCTGGCGAGGCTGCCGCTGGGCAAGTTACTTCACCTCTCTGCTTCAGCTTCCTTCTCTGTAAAATGGGAACCCGGCTGCCTTCAAATTAAGATAGAGAGGAGAAAGCGGCCTTGGAACTGCAAGGCATTATATTGCTGTAGTTCATCCTGGATTCGTATTTTTCAGCAGTTAGTGGCTTGTTCCCTTAAATTCTGACAGCTCGGCCTGGCTTTTAAGACTCTTGAAGTTTAATCTTATCAAGGCAGAACATCAAATTTTTGCGAGCGCCGGCATACGTACGTGTGTACACACACACACACACACCTCCTGCATTTCCTCTCGAGAATTTTACATTAAAACATTTAAAAGCAGCCAGCCAGCCCTCTCTGGATTTTAGGAGTTTGTAAAGCAGATCCTTAAGGTACAACTTTCCCTTTGCTCCTTTATCTTCCACCAAGATCCAAGACCAGGACTAATTCCACAAGCTCTATTGCTAAAAACTCAACATGTCCAAGAAATAAGCAACACCTCAGACCCTGCATTTCAAAGACTGGATGCATTCACTCTTCAAGGAGGAACAGAAGGACTAGGCTCATTTTCAAAGAGGAGGAGCTATCAGAAACTCATGTGTTATATGTTTTTAACCATCAGATTTTTTAGAAAAAAAAGCACTTACCTGCTTGTGCATTTCAATGTTCAGGCCATAGGACATCTCATAGTACTAAAAGTAAAAAGAATCGCCATTAACGGGCAACACATTGATCTGTTCACTTTCCAAAATCAGGCTTTTGGGGCAGGTTTCTGGCCAAGTCATACTTTTATGATAAATCTGCTAAAGAAGTTCAACCCAAACCCCGAAGCCAGCTACGGAGAGGGGTTTAAGAGCTGACAAGGGGCGAGTGCTGTCCTCGTCTCTACAGAACATTATATATGCAATAGTACGAGGAGCCAAGCCCTCCCTCCCAACAAGCATCCCATGTGCCATATATCCTGTTTATACAAGGTTCGGGTTCAACAGGGAATCGTGTGTACACTGGGACCCTCTTGTCCTCTGAGAGTTATTTAGCAATGTGTCGAAGACCTCTTATGTGGAAAGCAGTGCAGGGAGGGCGCTTAAGTGCCTTCCCTGTCCTCTCACAAACAGAAGATTGAAACTCACTTAACAGCCGCTGGGAAAGGGGTGAGAGTCTACCTACTGCCCCAAGGCTGACAAGATTCTGCAGTTGGGGTATCCCTGAGGAGGGAGGGGAATGGAGGCAGAGGGCTTTAAAAGGCTCCTCCATGCTCACAAAACCCAGGGGTAAGCAGTGGGGGAGGCAGAGAGGGCTTCTGTCCCACTCGGGCTAGATCCCAGGGCTGCAAAGCCGCAAAGTTTCCAAACACTCCCAGGAGGTCTCTAAGAGAGATTTTATCCAACCCTGACGTGTGCTGCTGATCCAATCCTATCTTACTGGCCAAGACAGGGCAACCAGCCCTCTGGGAAACCTTGAAAACACAAATGAAAGGGGCATAGAGGTAGGGCCGAAGCGCCCCGCCTGGACTTAGGTTTCTCTGTTTCTTTCTCCCCTTCTCTCGCCCACCCTCACGCAAGTGGCCCGGGCTAAGGGCGGGGGGGGGGGTGCTGGTGGAGGGTCGGGGCACACTCGGATGACACCGGCTCCCAGGGCTGCCCTGCGGCTGGCTGGGCGCGGCGTGCTGGGAACCCGGCTGCAGGGTCCTCGGACCTCGGACCCCCGCCCCGGCCCGCGGCCGCCTCTCACCATCACGTAATGGCGCTGCATCTCCGTCTTCTCGTTCGCCAGCTTGTCGTACTCCACTTTGAGGCTGCGAGGGCAGGAGGAGCCGGCTCAGGCCTGGAGCCCGCGCAGCCTCCTCCGAGGCTCCAGCGTCAGGGCCTCCGCGAGCCACTTCTCCACTTCCTGACCTCCCCCGGGGGTACCCCGGTCATCCCGCAGCCTCGGCGCGGAGGGGGCTCGGGTCCCCGCCGCGGGGAGGGGAGTGAAACAACTTGAAACTTCCCGCGGCCGAGCGCGTGGACTTCTCGGGGCCGCGGGGGGGGGGGGGGGGGGCGGCTCGCGCCCCCCGGAACCCGGAGCGAGCCCGCCGCGACCCCGACCCTCACCCCGCGTACGGCACGGGGAGCCGGGAGGCTGCGGGCAGCAAAGGGTTAAGGCGCCGCGCTCGGAAAGGGGAAACAAAAGGCGGAGGCCCCGGCTGCCCCGCCGCCCCGGGTCGGGAGCCCCCACCGTCCCCGCGGGGGGTGGCAGGAGCAGCGGCGGGGACGCCGCTCCCCGCCGGCCCCGGGGCAGCCCCACCAGCCTTACCTGTGATATTGAGCTTGCAGGAACTGGAATTCGTCTTTGATCCTGTCACAAGACTCAGCCACCGTGAATTTAAATCCCGGCTGCCCGGGTTGATGGGGAGCCTAGAGCCGGCGAAGACGAGACAGGGGAGGGGGCGCGGGCGTCAGACGGGGCTCCAGGCTGCTCCAGTCCCTCGGCGGCTTCGGCCGGCTCCCCCCTCCCTAACCCGGGAGGCCACCCTCACAGCCCAGAACGTTCCCAGCAAGTTTCTCAGCTGCCCGTCGCGGGGGGGGGGCACCCCAAATCCCTCCCTACAGGCGGCCGGGGCTTGCATCCCTTGCACGAGTGGGCTCCCATTCCCAAGTAAGACAGGAACTGGGAGACAGCCGGGTGAGTTGGGGAGATTTGGGAGAGAGGGCGGGGGGCAGCGTGAAAACAAACAGTTCGGCTGGAACACTGGCAGCCCCCCACGCCACTCGGGCGGAATTAACCTCCTCTCTCAACGGCGCCCCCCCATCCCCATCCCCTTTGTGTGAACGCGCGCGCGCGCACACACACACACACACACACGCACACGCACACACACTCACCATAAAGGTAGCAACAAGCAAAATGGAGGTGCCAGATAAACTGCCTCGTTTACCCTGCCATGATAGATGCTTAAATAAACCGAGTTGCAATTACTCACCGGATGTCTGCCTTGCGGATACATGGCAGGGAGGGGTCGTGATTCCGAGAGCGTGGAAGCGCGGAGAGCTCGGGCCGGGGAGGTGCGGGGGAGGGGGGAGCCAAGCCCCAGCGGGGGGCGGCCGGGAAACCGAGAGCTCGCCCCCGGCCCCCCCAGCCCGCTCTCGCAGCGAAATCCCAGAGTCGGGCGCCCGCCCCAAGTGGAGACAAAGAGCTGCGGAGCAGGCGGCAAAGTCGTCGGCCGGCGCCGAGGCCGGGCGGCGGGCGCGGGCTTTGTGCGCCTAGGGCTCGGCTGGCTGCGGCCGGCCGCCTTCCCCCCACTGCGTGGAGCGCGTCAGAGCCCGGGGCTGCGCGGACATCGTCGTCTCCCCAGTGGCTCCGGCGCGGGGTCCCGAGGCCGGGGTCCCCTCCTGGGGCGACTGCGGGCCCCCTCCGGATCACTCAGCGCCTCGCGCCGGGAGGGGGGCGCGCCGAGGCAGCCCCAGCATCCGGAGCGCGCGAATCCGATCCCAAGGGCGGCGCTCCGGGAGAAGAGGAAGGAGCCAAGCACCGAGGTGGCGGCTGGGGGCCGCAGGAGCGCCGGAGGGTGAGGGCGGGAGCCGGGCGCGGGCGCTTCGACGCCCCCCCTCGGAGAGGAGAGCCTGCTGTTCCGTCTGCTACTGCCGCCGCCGCCGCCGCCGCCGCCGCCGCCGCAAGCCCTTCCCAGAGCAGAGGAGGAAACTCCAGGCTCAGTAGGTGCAAATCAGCCGCCCTGGCATCTTAACTCCAGCGGGCACAGGAAGCCTCCGCAAAGGGGTCCTCGCTGCTCCCAGCTCCAGCGCCGCGTCCTCAGCGAGGAGCGCTCGGCGCCGCCGCCGCCGCCGCCGCCTCGGAGCGCACAGGCTGGAGAGCGCAGCCCGAGACCGGGGAGCTCTCTTCCTTCCCCTCGGCCCGGCTCTCCTCTCCGCGCCCCGACAAACCCCCCAAACACACACCCAAACACACACACACACCCAAAAAAGTGCCCCGGACCTGCGGATACCACACACAGACAGGCGAGGGGGACGAGCACGAGGTCTGAACTGCCGCGAGAGCAGTTCCAAATAGGGACTGAAAAGTAACAAAATAATGTGGCAGCTTCGCCCGGCGCTGGCCAATGGGAGCGCGCGGCCCCCACGTGGGGCTACCGGACTCGGCCTGCGACTGGGCGCCGCCGGGCGCGACGTCACAATGCCCTCTTGTGTCTAAAACTATGCATGAAAAGTAGCAATCAGGCCCTACCCGCTGGTGACTTTCGCATGGGAGTGAAAAACAGCGCTCCTCAGATCAGGAATTAACCGAAAGACATATAATAAATAGATATATATTATAGTCCTGGGCTGCTAGACTTTTTTCCCCCCGCCTCCTTCTTTCCTCCCCCCCCACCACGATCAACTAGCAAATAATTATTTGGCGGGAGGGGGAAAGAGAGGGAACAGGAATAACAACAAAAGAAAAAAAGACAAGCTGTACGGTCCTCAAAACCTGTGGCTGGTAGTAACGTATCAGTTTATTCTGCAGTGGCGGCGAACGATTCCTCCCTCGAATCTCATTAGGTCTGCAAAGCAGCCCAATTAGATACTATAAAACAAACAGAATCACTTTGTCACTTTAATGTTTTCACTTCGCAAGATTTAAGACTGATAAAATGGTGGATCCCGAAGTTGCCTCCCACCTGAAAAAATTTGCTGGAAACTGAGGGTGCCCCTTTCTTTACCCCTTCTCCTGCCCACGCTCCCCCCGCCCCCCACTGGCCCCCAGCTTTTCTTCTTTGTTCATTCGTCCTTCTTTTCAGAAAGCCAAATAAACAGCGTCTTTGATGTGCGGCGGCTGCCTGCGAGAAGTCTGAGGAACTCTTGCTTGGGCAGCGCAGATGGAAGGACCGGCTGCCAGCGGACAACCGGCCCAGTTCGCGCTTTCCCCACTCGGGGCTCCTTCCCGCGGCTCCCCACCGCGCACCCGGGTCAGGGGAGCGGAGGAGGGGATGGGGAGGCGGCCCTGCCCTGCCCCGGCCCGGGAGCTCCCCGTTCCCACCAGGTTTACCGGGCCTGCTCGCGGCAGTGACACCGCGTCGGCGGAAGCCTGCGGAGGGGCGCGCGTGCCGGCCCGTGGGTGTCTCGGCCGCCAGCCTCGACGCCCCGGGAGGCGCAGACGTTCGCGCGCCCCCCTGCGCTCCCCTGCACCCCCACCGCCGCGCCCCCGGGACTCCCCGCGCGGTCGCACGGGCCACTCGACTCAGCGGGCCAGTTTGTTCGCAAACCGGTAGCCTCGATCTGCCGCTCGGGGTTACGTCAGGGCAAACGGGCCTGGGTGAGGGGAGGTGTGGGGGAGCGGCCATGCCCCGGACCCCCGCGGGCACCGCGGGGTGGACTGGTCCCACGGCGGGGCGCGGGGGCGCGGGTCCCTCCCCGGCATCACCGAGAGAGCGCACGCACCCGAGGGCCGGTGGCGGGCGCGAGCGAGCGGGCCGCGCGCCCCCGGTTCTATATTTTCCCCTCATTAGGATCTGAAGTTCGTTCTTGCATCTTAATGAGGAGCTGAGAGCGAGCGGGCGCTCGGAGGCCGGTGCGCAGGGAGTTACACGTGAGCGCCCGCCTCGGAGTTGAACCTCCCAGCGCCCGCTCCGGCCGCCAGCCCTGAACCGCGCTCCTCTCTTCATTTATTTATTTTCCTAAATAAAAACATAAATCGTGTGCGGCGCGCACCGAAGGGGGGGTAGGGAGAAGCCCAGCTCGACAGATGCGAGCATCTGGCCGCAGCATTCGTTAGACACAAAATGGCTCCTCTCTGGAGCTTCCTTTTCCCCTCCCCCTTCTCTGCCCTCCCCCTTACGTCACGGGTGGGCGCACCCGCTTCCTACCCGCCCCGCCCCTTTCTCGCTCCTGCCCCCCACGTGGGAGCCGTCGACCCCGCCCCCGAGCAAGGCCCGGAAGACCAATCAGAGACCGCTGAGGGGACTCTCCGTTTCTGATTGGTGGAACTGCAGGGAGCTGTCAGTCCGCAGCCAGAGCTGTCAGTCAAAACCACGAGGGGTGGGGGAGCGCTGACAAATGCCGAGGCTTCTGAGCCTCCCGCTTGCAAATAGTGCTTGGAATGGCTGCTTAATTAGCTTTGAATGGCTTTTCCTTCCAGCTCAAACAATCTGTCACTACCATGTGGTATAAAGGAGCCATGCATAAAAAAGTAAGCAGAGGCTAAATATCAATTTGATTTTGTGTATCAAAGGAATATTTTATTTTTCTCCCTAGTAATGAAACGTATCAATTTAAATAATAAAAGGTAAAAAACACACACACAAACCAAAAAAGAAAAAAAAAGAAAGAAAAAAAGGAAAAAGAAAGAAAAAAAAAAACCCTAAACTCCACGGTTCTGACTCCTGAGCACGCCTGAAACAGGTAATTTCTACGGCCCACGTTTAGGAGGAAACCTGAGGATTTCTCCCTCCCCTCCCCAAACTTGCGTCGCGTTTTGTTGTTGCCGTCCAGAAGTCTAGAAGGAGAGATGGGGGAGGGGTGGCCTGTAAAAGGGAAGGTGGGGGCAGGGAGGGGGCAAACTTTAAAGGGAGCCCTTTGAAGCTGCTAATCAAAGTGGAGGGGGTTTTAAGACCCCGTAAACTGGGGATCCCACAGCAGGTCTCGATTTGGGAGCCGGGGGGCGGGGGGAGTAGCGGGTGTGCGTCTCGCCTGGATTTATTAAACACAATGCCTTCAAGATGCGCCTCGTCCGGCCTCCCTTTCTCGATCTCATTCCGAACTGGCTCCGACGGCGTCCGCCCGCAGTCGGCCGACTAGTCCTGGCCCCCAGGTCAGGTCTACTCGGATTGCGGACAGAGCCCAGCAGCTCTGTCCCCGATTCAGGCATGGCTCTTGCCCCCCGCGATCCGGGGGACCGCACGAGCCTGGACACTCCCACAGGGCGGACTCCGGTCCAGTTCACCTGTGAGCCCCGGCGCCTGCGCGGGGCGCGGCACCTTGCAGAAGTGAGGCGCTGCATAGATGGACTTGGTTTTGCCGAGCGCCGCCTCCTCTGCTGGGCGCAGCTGGAGGGCCCGCCACGCAGTGAAGAACGATTAGCGCACTAGAGCGCTTACTATGCGCGAGGCAGGACGCTGTTACCCAAGCGAGCACTCTCTTCGTCCTCACCTCACGCCCTAGGGAAGCGGCCTGCATGGTGGCCCCCCATTTTATAGAGTAAAAAAGAGAGGATGAGAAACCTCCGAATTTGCCCCAAGCTGGGCAAAAGTCTCAAGATTCGAATCCAGGGCAGCCAGCTCAAGAGCCAACCTCCGCGCCTCCTTTGGTTGCGGGAGGAGGATCCGTGCAAGCATTTGCTGAAGGAAAGACCTTGATTCATTCCTATTCATTCATTCTTTCATTCATTAGCAGCCCTTTCTGAGGGTCAGGCTGTAGGGTCACAGGCCCAGCTCGCCCGCCTCCGGAATCCTACTCGCTGCGCACCCAGCATCACTCCCAGCTCTCCGGAGCCCAGAACAGGAAGAGGGGCGGGAGGTAAGTAACCAGGCCAGCACCCCCTTGGGCTTGTCACCGCTCTACCCCCACCCGCACGACACCCCACAAATTAGAAAAAAAAAAAAAACACAAGGAGAAATATACATTTCTTTTATGCTCAAGAAAGGGAAAAGAAAACAAAAAAACATGTATACAACACCATGTCCAAAGCGCTTGACAATTATTTTTCAAGAAGGAGGGGAGTGGAGAGAAAGAGTTCAAACGTCTCTGTCTCCAGTTCTAATTGGAAACGTTTCAACTGTTTATGTTACAAGAAGTGTCAGGGTCATTTGCTACCGGAGAGCTGACTTTTCATTGGCTGCTTAATTGAGTACCTCGGAGTCCACCCCACGTGGGAGAGGAATTCCTGGCACATTAAAAAAAAAAAAAAATCACCCGGGTGAGACAGAAAGTCCGGCGTGGATTTGCCGAACCGAGTCTCCCCAGCCCCTCATTTGGGGTACAGGGTGGTTGGTGGGCAGCTGTTTACCAGCCCCAAGAGCTTCTGCTCTGGTTCTTTCAAAAAATTGTCAAATGCTTCAGAGACGGTTTTAATATATGTTTTCTCCCTTTCTCAAAAATTAAAGGGTCTGGCTCAGGTCAGCCACCAGGCTGTGGCCTCCTATTTGAGGAACTGATCCCAGTGCCTTGGGTGGAGTTTTGAACCTCTCTCTGTCATCCCTTCTACTGCCTCCACTGACTTTGATTTTTTTTTTTTTTAAGACCTCTCCTTTGGACTGCCCAGAGGGAAATCTCCTTCACCCGTCTCCCTTTGGTTGATTCTGTAAGGCTCCTCTGATTATTGGCCTTTTGCTAAGGCAATCCTGCCTGTCCCCCACTTAGGTCCTCCCCTCTGAGAGCCCCCCAACTAGTCATCCCAGGCCTTCTCCTGCAAGCAAGCACCTGGCCATAGAGCAAGAGGAAAGAGAATTTTTATTTATTTAACAAACTCTTACATAGTGCTTACTCCGTGCCAGACACTGTTCTAAGCACTTGACAAATATTAACACACTTAATCCTTTCCTAGTGAATGAAGTGGGTGCTATCAGGGTTACTCCTATCTTACAGGGGGGGCAGTTGACATACTGTGGTACAGTGACTTGCCCAAGGTCACTTCAGAGGCTGCCAGACTTGAACCTAGGCAATTCAGCTCCAGAGTCTTCACCACCACCCGCCACTGGCTCTAGGAGCTTAGCTTTCCTGGGAATGCACATCAGGCTTCAGGACACACCACAGGAAACTAGAGGGCCCCAGGAAGTCCCAGAGGGAGTCCCTATAGAGCACATCTGGGAGCCACTTCATTTCAGGGAAGGAGACTGAGCTCTGAGAGGTCGGGAGACTTCCCAGGGTCTCCCAACCCCTCTTCCAATTCTCTGGCTGGTCCAAGTTATGTGACCGTGGGGACTTACTTAATCTTGCTAAGCCTCCATTTCCTCATCTGTAAAGTGGAGATTACAATCCTGTCTACCGCAGAGGATTGTTTTGAGAATCGATGGTGATAATGCATGCGATGTACTTAGTACAGAACCTGGCACATGAAGTGATC